TTTCAACCCCACCCCCTCCTCCGCCGAAGTGACATTCTTTCATGATTCGCGACGGTATTTGTTAATTACCACTCGGATCATTGTTTTGTCAATTCATTTTTGTAAGTTTTCGGTCTTGCGTCATATCGGTGTTATATATATATATATATATATATATATATATATATATATATATATATATATATATATATATATAGGCTTACATATGGCAGAAAAAAAAACAATGCACAAACTGGACTTACTGAAACAAGTGAGACATTTTTCTACCATATCAATACGGTAGTGTTTTTCCATTCATCATGGACCCCAAGGTTTTATATATATATATATATATATATATATATATATATATATGTGTGTTGTGTGTGTGTGTGTGTGTGTGTGTGTGTGTGTGTGTGTGTGTGTATTATTTACTTATTTTATTAAAAATACTTTCCGGGTAGTAAGAGGAGTACCAGTCTCGGGTCTCTCTCTCTCCCAGAAGAGTTTGATATGCAATCTTAATTATTCTTTTAAATATTTGAATGCACATTATCTTGCCGTTTAATGGTGTACCGCTGACTGATTCAATCACGGGAAACGTAGTTATCTTCGATCTTAACTACATTCGATGGATAAGTAGTAAGCCTTTTAATGTTAACGAATACTGACCTATGTCGTGAGTTCCTCCCCAGTCAGAAGTAATACATATTATTTTACATAATAAAATAAAATAAATATATAGAATATAATTTCCAAATCGAATGCAAGATTATAATCAGCCGTGAAACTGACATCGGTAAGTTCTATCGTACATTGACAATGAATAATGTGGGATAAGATTTTAATGTAATAAAATGACAGAGAGCCAGAAAATCCCAAGACGACATCCCTGTGGATTCCTTTCTCATGCAGTACCACATTTTCTGTAACCACTGGAGTAAATTTATGGCATTAGAGGCATACGAGCCCATATTATAACAGCCATATGAGACGAAGATAATGCGATGCAGAGTTAGGTTTGAGCGATTGTACGATTACACTGTGTCCAGGTTTCTGGTGTTTTTACTTTTCTTATTTAAGAAATAGGAGATGCACATTTCTATGCATAACGTAAAAATTCATGTTCTAAAGGAAGTAAATCATGTGTAATACATTCGTAATTAGATATGGTGAAACCATCGTTTATCTACTGTTTTCTGTAAGTTCCTGGAAACCTGTATTACCTATGGCTTCCCGAGTTTTCAGCCGATGAATGACACGAGAACGGTGTAATGCTTATTATAAAACAAATTTCGTTCTAGGGAACGTACATTTAAACATAATGTAGCATACATTTAATTTCTTGTTAGAGGGTCCAAATATTGAACATATTCTTCTTATTTCATTCCTTTCATGTTTAGGGGAAAGAGATAATAGCAGACTGAATACGGAGACCGTTCAGGACTAACAGAAAGCCAGACATTCATCCTCACACTTTATGATGTGGACAGAAGGGGATGAAGAAGAGAAGGAATAGGGAAGATGGCGAAGAAAAGACTTGGAGAAATGTTTAAGGGATTGCAAAAAAAATATAAATATTTTTGTTATAAACATTTATTTCTAAAGCATAATATGTGCTTGCTGATTGTGTTATCGAATATATAAAACCATTGGGATTTTAAAGGCAATTGCCAATAGGTGTTTAGTGATATCCTCCGCCATTCTGTGGGAAGGTGATGGCTGGACCGAAGACTTGAGGATGCTGAGCCTTGCCGGAGTAGCTGACCTTGGCCACGAATCCTCTACCGTGGTCAGCTGTGTAGTCGACCTGTTTAGGGAGAGGAATGATTGTCAGGTTGTATCAGTAGATTTGCAGTGCTTCTATAAAATGGTATTAGAATGTCGACGTGCTTTTGACTGGATGAGGTAGATCATGATTGTATTTTGTTCTACCTTATAAAAGCATTGTCATATTTTATTTATTTTTTTGCGAATGACGAAAGATGTGAACACTATATTTACTTGTTGCTTGCGGCCGTCGGGAAGGGCGACGGTGTAGGATCCCCACACGTTGCTGCCGTCGGAGTTCTCGTTCTGACCGAAGTTGGTTCCCGAGTAGGCGTCGTTCACGGCGTAGTTGAAATTGTAGGGGATGGGGCCCTGAAAGCAGTCGCAGCGATAATGGTGAAGCTCTTTCGGCTATTGCGAAATTTGAGTTTGTTACATATCTTTTACTATATCTGCTTCTACTGTTATCGTCATTTTGTAAACATTTGACTAACTTACAGAGGCATAAACAGCTCCTCCTCCTCCTCCTCCTCCTCCTCCGCCATAGTTGCTTGGATGGGCCTGTGACACGGCCAGGGCCACCAGAACTGCAATTGCCTGTAATAAGATACCATTTTCCATCAAGACCGTCGCAGGATATGAATGAATTGAATTTCATAGAAATTCCATAATTTGTCACTTTTTTATGAATTTGAAGGGGAATAGACAGCATTGTAACTGATGGTACAGTATTCCCTGTCACAGAACGTAT